GGTTGATCAGGCTACCGGTCAGGATTTGGCCCACAACGGCGGATTGCGTCAGGAGCAAATATGGAACGGCTAGATGGAACCGGCGCAGATGATCGATATGGAAACTTGGGCTCTAGTGTTCCTGTTATAGAACATGACTCGGGAGCTAGGAAAAACAGGAAATGGTTGAATTCTCCAGAGAGGTGGGAAATTAAGCAACTAATTGCTTCTGGTGCGGTGTCTGCCGCAGATTACCCCGATCTAGATGAGGAATATCACGCTACACTCAGAGGAGAGGGAGATTTTGAAGAGGAGGAAGATGTTGATATTGAAGTTCGGGAGGAGGAACCCCCATTTTTAGCAGGTCAGACGAAGCAATCTTTGGAACTTTCACCAATCCGTGTTGTTCGAGCTCCAGATGGCTCGCTTAACCGTGCGGCTATGGCTGGAGCAAACCTGGCGAAGGAAAGGAGAGAAATTAGACAGCAAGAGGCCCAAGACAAGGCCGCCGAAAAGGCAGCTCAAGTCGATCTCAATGCACAATGGCAAGATCCAATGGTTGCTCCAGACCAGAGAAAATTTGCATCTGAATTGCGCAACGCCACTACCGAAAAGTCTTCAGAGCCATTGCCGGAGTGGAAACGAGCAGCACAGAACAAGGATGTATCATACGGAAAACGGACAAATCTTTCAATGAAAGAACAACGTGAAAGTCTTCCTGTGTACAAGTTCCGTAAGCAACTGCTTGAAGCTGTGCGGGAAAATCAACTACTCATTGTCGTGGGTGACACTGGATCTGGGAAAACAACGCAAGTCACCCAATATTTAGCTGAAGGTGGGTTTGCGAATAACGGCATGATCGGATGTACGCAACCTCGACGAGTTGCCGCAGTATCTGTTGCCAAGCGAGTATCTGAAGAGGTGGGCTGTCAATTAGGCCAGGAGGTTGGCTATACCATTCGTTTCGAAGATTGCTCTAGCCCAAATACGAAAATTAAATATATGACGGATGGTATTCTTCAAAGAGAAATCCTTTTGGACCCCGATCTGAAGAAATACTCAGCGATCATGCTTGACGAAGCCCACGAAAGGACCATAGCCACCGACATACTCTTTGGATTGCTGAAGAAGACTATTAAGCGGAGACCCGATCTTAAACTCATTGTCACGTCTGCCACTCTGGATGCAGATAAATTCTCTGAATATTTCAACGGCTGTCCTATATTTTCTATACCGGGAAGGACATACCCTGTGGAAATTATGTATTCAAAGGAGCCCGAATCCGACTATCTAGATGCAGCGTTGGTTACAGTGATGCAAATACACCTTACAGAGCCAGCCGGGGACATACTTTTGTTTTTGACGGGCAAGGAGGAAATCGATACCAGCGCAGAATATTGTACGAACGGATGAAGGCATTGGTCTACGTACTGAGCTTGTATTCTCCCCGTTTATTCTGCACTTCCAGTGAATGCAAGAGCAGAATTTTCGAGC